GCGTCCCCTTAGGACAGCGGAGTGCTGAAAAGGTGGGGTGGTGGCAAGCGTCAGGGCATGTTCGGCTTGGGTTGTGAAGGATGTTGGTTTGCTTAGAGTTAAGGGTGGCAGGAAGCTGGCGTTTTATGGCGTATACACGATGCTCAGGTTATCAGGTCGATGAGGGGTATCTAGGGTGGTATTTAATATGGACTTCTGTCAGTTTGAAGTGACAGGGTTTCTGTCGTTTAAGCTTTATATGACAGCATGACAGATTGCTTGACCTTTTTCTTCTCTGTTTGGTTTGTTTGGGTTGACTTTTGATAGCGAACAAGCCAGTTTTAAGTTCCAGTATATGTATGCGTATCAGCTGGAACTTTGTAAAAGCAAATACACGTGCTTTCATCTTGGTATGTATTTCACCTTTATATGTAAATGTATGTATCTCTACATATAGACATATGTTTAGAAAGCAGAATTTGAAATAAAAATTTTCATCCATCCAAACAATGTGACTGTCGCTTTATTGAAAATTAGGATGACAGATTTATGAATAATACCTCATTGTCTTGTTTTTTTTTCCTTAGTGCTTGCCCTGTAATACAGAAATCTTCCAGAATGCTGGAGTCCTATGTAACTCCTATTCTGATGAGTTATGTGAATCGCTACATAAAGAATCTGAAGCCTTCAGATCTGCAGTTGTCACTCTGGGGAGGAGATGTCGTGCTTAGTAAACTTGAGTTAAAGCTAGATGTACTTGAACAGGTATGTTTATAGTAGTTGCAGTCTGTGTCTTTGACCTAAAAGAAGTTGACTAAATAATTTAGGTTGGTCTGCACAGATAAAAAAATACTCGTTTAGTACTCACTCGTTTTCTTCTTATGCAAGTCCTTTATTTTCCCTGCATTTAGTTACTTTTGTGTTTAATTCCATGCCATTTGTTTGGTAATGAATGGTAATTCTTTGCACATTCTGGAAGTTATGGGGTCTGAAGAGAATGGCTTTTTATGGACATGTTTCTTTTGGAGACCAGTAACGAGTGGTGTCCCTCAGGAATCGGTGTTGAGACCTGTGTTGTTCAACATCTTTGTCAGTGACATGGACAATGGGATTGATGCGCCCTCAGCAAGTTTGCCGACGACACCAAGCTGTGTGGCTCGGTTGATATGCTGGAGGGAAGGGATGCCATCCAGAGGGACCTGGACACGCCTGTGAGGTGGGCTGTTGCCAACCTCATGAAGTTTAACCAAGCCAAGTGCAAGGTCCTACACCTGGGTCGGCACAACCGCAGGCACAGCTACAGGTTGGGTGGAGAAGAGATTCAAAGCAGCCCTGTGCAGAAGGACTTGGGGGTGGTGGTTGATGAGAAGCTTGACATGAGCCGGCTTCAGTGTGCGCTTGCAGCCCAGAAACCAACCGTATCCTGGGCCGCATCAAAAGAAGCATGACCAACAGGTCAAAGGAGGTGATCCTGCCCCTCTACTCTGCTTTTGTGAGACCTCACTTGGAGTATTGTGTACAGTTCTGGTGTCCTCAACATAAAAAGGACATGGAGTGTTGGAGCAAGTCCAGAGGAGGGCTATAAGGATGATAAGGGGGCTCAAGCACCTCCTATATGAACACAGGCTGAGAAAGTTGGGGCTGTTCAGCCTGGAGAAGAGAAGGCTGCGTGGAGACCTCATAGCAGCCTTCCAGTATCTGAAGGGGGCCTACAAGGATACTGGGGAGGGACTCTTCGTTAGGGACTGTAGTGGTAGGACAAGGGCTAATGGCTTTAAACTGAAACAGGGGAAGTTTAGATTAGATATAAGGAAGAAGTTCTTTACAGTGAGGGTGGTGAGGCACTGGAACAGGTTGCCCAAGGAAGTTGTGAATGCTCCAACCCTGGAGGTGTTCAAGGCCAGGCTGGACAGAGCCTTGGGCGACCTAGTTTAGTGTGTGGGGTCCCTGTTCATGTCAGGGGAGTTGGAACTAGATGATCTTAAGGTCCTTTCCAACCCTAACTATTCTATGATTCTGTGATTCTATTCTGTGATGTTTTTTCTTTCAGTGACCATTGTTTTACAGTATGAACATTAACTTAATTGCTTTTCCAGTCATATTTACTAATTGCATATAGTAACTAATTCAGAATGTCACAAAGTAGGATCTCTAATTGTGCATACTGAACATAGATTTGTGTTCTCTGTAGTGTTTTATAATTCCAGGTTTCATCATTCCAATTATATTTAAACTTAAGAGTAACTGAGGGACAGAGTTGATCAGCTGGTTTGTGTGGGGCTTTCAGTTTGATCAGGGGCTCTTGGCCTTTAAAAGACAGGCTTGACTCAGTAAAACAGTTGATATGGAATTTGGAGCCTGTTGTCAATATGAACAGATTAAGTCTTAGTGGAAGGACTGTTTTCTTGTGTGCTTATCTGAGTTGACAAGGAGTTGGGTGTATGAGCCCAATAAAACTGTTTTCTGTTGGTGTAGTGAGTCTTAGCTGGTGTCCTGTGTCCAGATGTAGTCCAAGTGAAGGAGCTGAGAGAAATGCAGCAAAAAATAATGGGAGATTTAGGCAATATGGCTGTTAAAAGAAGAATAAAATAGAAGGGAATGTGTTTTAATTTTGAACAAAAGTGAGACAAGATAGGACAAGAATTATGTGGATGAGACAAGAAAGAATGGAATAAATTTCATTTGGAGAGACTTAGATTGAACATCAAGTGAAATTTCCTCATTTTAATCAGATGGTGAGGCATTGGAGAAGACTGAGGATGTTGTATGGTCTCTATTGGGAGACCTTTTAAAATGTGAAAGAAATGTTTATGGTTTATTAACTGTCTCTGATCCTGTTCTGGAAGAGGAGATAATCTTTCAAGAGATCGTGTCCTATTTTCTGTGCTTTTGTAAAGAGCTTGATTTGTCTTGCTTGAGGTATCTGGTGGCCTGTGTATTTTCTATCAAGTCTTTTGTTTCTTCGTTTTATTGGTTCAGCTTGTCCAAACAGCTGATGCAGATACTAGACTTCAGCTGGTAGGATGTGCTCCTCCTGTGAATGTTTGAAGCCTTTTTTAATGTATATATTAGGAAATCTGAGAAGTGTTGATCAGAAAGGAACTCTGGAGGTTATCTATTCCAACCTCCTGTTCTAAGCAGGACTGTTACCAGCATTATGTCAGATCAGCTTGTGGTTTTCTCCAAGTTGAGTCTTGAAGTCTCCTGCATTGGTTGTGAAAACCTCCACTTGTTCTAGTGCTATATTGTGTAGAGAGAATGTTTGTCCAAATAACAAATGATGACTTGGGATGGATATATCAAACTTGCTACATTACCTGGTACAGTTAGGATTTTGCTGCCTTCACTGATGTTGTTCCCATTCAGATAGTTGCAGTTTGCTGGTGGGTGATCTCTTCATCTTTGCCTATTTATCAGCTGGGTACCTAAATATTCAGTGCAATCTGTTAATGCCATGGCTCTTGTAGAGGCAAATGTTGCCATATATACCTGTGCTCATGTCCTATCAGCTTGAATGGGGATGTGAATATGCAATGAACACAAAATCTGGCTCAGATTAGATTTTTTTTTTTTAATTTTTTTTTTTTTTTTACAGGATTTGGCTCTGTGTTTGTGTGAAAAGTAGTGATCTTATTTTGGCTTTTATTATTCTTTGGAGCCTGCCCGGACACACAGACTGTATTTAGGATGTCTTTCTTTTTTTTGTGGAAGGGATGGTGCTTTATGCCTGCTCAGCAAAACTCTTTTTGAGTATGTAGTAATAAAACATCCTTTTGCAGCTGGCAGAGAGCTCCCTTGAAAAGAAAGTCCTTCTGCCTGGATGAATTCGTGATATCCAAAATTATTTGCCTTAACTGCTCTGGTCTTGTAACATCCTTTCCTGGGCTGTTATCCTCAGCTTGGTTTCCTTCCCCTTATCTGGCATAAATGCAGCCTTAAATTCATGCTTTAGGCTTTGGATACAAATGCACATACCCTGGATGTCTTTGTCTGGAGCCTTGAACATTTTCAGAGAGGCTACAGTAGCATAGGTGACAACTACCTGGACAAAGCACCTTATAAAAGGTTTGGGAACAAATCTGTTCTTTCTTCCCTCACTCCTTGAACTTCAGCTGGTGTTCTGTTTACAGTTCTGGTGTCCTCAACGTAAAAAGGACATGGAGCTGTTGGAGCAAGTCCAGAGGAGGGCTACAAGGATGCTAAGGGGGCTCAAGCACCTCCCATATGAACACAGGCTGAGAAAGTTGGGGCTATTCAGCCTGGAGAAGAGAAGGCTGTGTGGAGACCTCATAGCAGCCTTCCAGTGTCTCAAAGGGGGCCTATAAGGATGCTGGAGAGGGACTCTTCATTAGAGACTGTAGTGGTAGGACAAGGGGTAATGGCTTAAAACAGGGGAACTTTAGGTTAGATATAAGCAACAAGTTCTTTACAGTGAGAGTGGTGAGGCACTGGAATGGGTTGCCCAAGGAAGTTGTGAATGCTCCATCCCTGGCGGTGTTCAAGGCCAGGCTGGACAGAGCCTTGGGTGACATGGTCTAGTGTGAGGTGTCCCTGCCCATGGCAGAGGGTTGGAACTAGATGATCTTAAGATCCTTTTCAGCCCAGACCATTCTATGATTCTATGTTAACATTTTCATGTCATGTTGCACTCTTATGGGTCACCAAACACACAGTACTTAATGAAAGGGGAAAGATTGCACAGAAAAGGAGGACAAATAGAAATTGTCTTTGTTCTGTTGTATTATGAACAAGTTATTAAATCTGGCACACATTTGTATTGTCTACTGAAATAGCACAGCGAAGATTTCTCTGTATGGCTTTAAGAAAAGTTGGCTGTGCAATTAGGATAATGTCAGACAAATTCCTTTAAGAAAGAACTGTCTTCTAAATAAGCTGTGGATTTGGTTGTATCACTTCATTTTGAAAGAACTCCTGCTTCCGTTTTTTTAACTGTCTTACAGTTAACTAGACAAAAATCAGAATATGTTAAATCCATCCAGCAAACGGTGGAAAAACTTCTATTCTAGAGTACCTTTTGAAGTAAACTCCTAAGTTACACATGTGAACGCAAGTCAGGTTGTAAATAGATGTTATGGTATTGACGAGCAACATAAAAATTATGTATCTGTGAGTCTGGAAAGGAATTTATTTCTATTGCTGTTAATACTAATAGTTTGCTGTCTTGATTCATGAAAGCATTGTCTCTTAAATTGCAGTATATTTTTAGAGTCCATATTTTTTTGCGCTGCTTTCCTCCCTCTCTTCTCCCCAGGCTGTAGGACATGAGGTACTTTTTCATTTCTTGTATGACCAGTGTAACAATATCTGTACTGAACGACCCAGTATTTGCTTTTCAGTGGCTTAACTGAGACTGTCTAGATTAAAATTTTATTTAGGTTGACTGTAAGCCTAAGGCTAAATTTTTAGGAGAGAGGCTTTCAGCTATAATCCTTCAGTATATTAGTGAATGAGGTGAAGAAAAAATGCTTTGTAAAAACAAAGTGACAATTTTCTTTGATTTGTTTTTATGGGAAGGTCTGTAACTGTCATCTTTTGGAATGGGGACTTGGAATTAGGTGTGACTTCGTGTAAGCATGGTTGAGGTAGCAGTCAAGTGTTTCTCTCACGTGAGATAGTGTATGGTTTTTTAAATTCATTAATGAAAGCTCAGTAAACCCTAAAACCTGATATACAAACTGAAAGCTTTGCAACAACAACAACAAAAAACCCTACAGTTATGATTTTGTGAGTTGCCTTCTCTGAAGATTTTGTTAGCAGTGAATATACTTCATCTACTCTTAGGTCTTGGATGCAAGATAAAATTTTTAATCATACCAGTTGAAAGGCTAAAGAGGTATCAACTGTAGAATGGAGAGAGCGTTCCTTAACATTGCTCCTATTAGCATCTGTTGTCACTAGATATTTGTGGGTAAGAATAGTTGACTTCTCTTTTGGATGACTAATTAGGGGCTCTCTCAGGATGCTAACCTGTCACAGTTGCAGTGGCAGGTATTTCAACTCAGAACTTATGACATATAGCTACTATGAAAAAGTTTTTAATGGGCTTCCGAAACATGTCACTAAGATTTGATTACAGTTTAAAGATGTTAGGCACATAATGGTATTAACTAGCTTCATAGGTATATTCTATAGGTAGACTTACTATATATGCCAAGTACTAAATGCAAAATACATTGTCCTGAAATTTTATTACTGTAGAACTTCTATACAGCAGGGATAGGTCTAAAGTCAAGCAATGCAGGAAAATAGGCTTTCTGGATCCACTTCTAGATGTTTATCTGAAATTCCCTACCACCTTACCTGGTTGAGCTCAGATTTTCATGTGTCTTCTCTATTTAACTTCTACTCATTCATAGGAGTACGGAGTCAAAGCATGCAAATACTTAAATTGAGCCAAGGTGCAAAGGTACTTAAGCCTCGGGTTGCCAGGGAAATTCTGAAGTTCTGAACAAAGGCTTATGTCTCTGAGTTTACTTGGAAATACAACAGTTAAGAACCTAGGGGTGCTGATTGGCAGCAGGCTCAATGTGCATCAGCAGTGTGCCCTGGCAGCCAAGAGGGCAAACCACATCCTGAGGTCCATCAAAGAACAGCCAGCTGGTCAACCTGCTGTATGCGGTGGTGGTGTGGCCTCACCTGGAGCACTGTGTGCAGTTCTGGGCACCACAATTTAAGGAGGATGTGAAGGTCTTTGAATGTGTCCAGAGGAGGGCAACAAAGCTGGTGAGAGGGCTGAAAGGAATGTCCTATGAAGAATGGCTAAAGACTTTGGGCATGTCTAGCTTGGAGAAAAGTAGGTTGAGGGGTGACCTCATTGCTCTCTACAGCTTCCTGAGGACAGAAGGCAGAGATGGAGGTGCTGACTTCTTTCCCTGGTATCCAGTGAGTGATAGGACTTGTGGGAATAGTGCAAAGCTGAGCCAGGGGAGGTTCAGTCTTGACAGTAGGAAGCATTTCTTAACTGAGGATGGTCAAACACTGGAACAGGCTTCTTGGGGAGGTGGTCGATGCCTCAAGCCTGTTAGTGTTTAAGAGGCATTTGGACAATGCTCTTAATGACATGTTTTAACTTTTGATCAGCCCTGAATTGGTCAGGCAGTTGGATTAGATGACTGTTGTAGGCCCTTTCCAACTGAAAATATTCTATTGTAATGGCCAAAACCATTACTGAGTGTCTGGGAGACTTAGGTTCACTTCTTCCTCAATCTGACAATATTCACACCTGTAGTTCCCAGCACCTACAATGAAGATGCAAACACCAGGCTATAAGCAACTCCAGCTGAAGACATCAGTTGTTTTTTCCCCATTAAGACTTTAAACCTTTATAGCCAAAAATGTCAGGATAGGAGATCAGGAAGTATGTTATCACTGAAGCCTCATCATTAGAATACTTAGTATTGAAAATGCTGACTTAAGGTTCTGGAATAATATCAAATATGGTTTCTTTATGTTGCACTAAGCATTCACTTTCCTTACTCCAAATCTTGATCTCTAGTTCTGGGAACAGGTCTTTAGCCTGACAGTTTGTCTGGTAAGTGTTAAGCTCATGCTTCCCAGGAGAACCCCAGGAGCTACTGGGGGAATTTCAACACTTTGTATCCAAAGAATTTCAACCTTGGCACCTTGTTTGCTTCTGACTCACTGCATGCAGCTGCAGGTGGCTCACTGGGGCTGTCCTATAGAGGCGTCATCTAAGCATTGACTGGGTGGAGTGCCAGGCATTTGTTAGGAATTCTGGGCTAACTTGCACCAGTTTTTAAAGCAGGGTGATACACACGTTAGGCCTTGGTCAGGAGTTGTCTGATTTTGCCAGTGAAAAATTTAGTAACTTTGTATTTACTGAGCAGTTTGTTGTGAATGTGGTGACAATGGCCCAATCTTAAGGGCTCTAAGCTGTTGTAACTCCAAGTACTAAAATATTTTGGAAGAAATTGACTTGCTGTGGCTTTGTCAATGTTTAATTCCAAATTCATGTTCTTCAGAATAATGCAGGTTGCATATCAGTTTAAGTATTTACTTTCACCTGGTTCATTGGTTCATTTCTACTTGTCCCTTGAGCAGAGACATTTTGCGGTAGTTTCATGCATGAGAGGTGGCTTTAAATAGTCTTTGATTATTAAGGACATGATAATCCAAATGTCGCCTTCGAACAGACTAATTGTACGAGTGCAAGCAATTGTAAAGCTGGTTGTCAAGGCCCATGGCATACTGCTGATTTGGGGAGACAGAATAAATTCCGACTTACATTTTGAGCTAGAACTGCACTATTTTAAGTTACAAATGTGCCTTGAATTTTGATGTGTTTCAGTAGTTCATTCACTACTCTTTTTGTTGTTGCTAGGAGCTGAAACTACCATTTACCTTTTTAAGCGGGCATATTCATGAACTTCGGATTCATGTGCCATGGACAAAATTGGGGTCAGAACCAGTTGTCATCACCATCAATACGATGGAGTGCATCTTGAAATTAAAGGATGGAGCTCAGGTAAGAAATGCAATGAATGCTTTTCTGATGTTGAGAGGTAGAAAATAATAGCTTCTATTTTTACCTTCTTTAAAACCATCTGAAGAATCAGGCATGTGAAGATGCAGTTTCTGCTATTTTCTAAAAGGCTGATATTGTTCTCATCTTGGCTAGTATCTTTGTTTATGCTTATTTTTAATTCTTTACTAGCTGTAGCTGTATTCTTGCAGATGTAAGAGCATGTTAATAGTGCTTTGCCGGAATTTTCCTATGACTTGACAAGAAATGTATTTCAAGAGCAATATAGTTTCCTGCACGCTTCCAGCTTCTGCCTCCCCAGGAACAGTGCTGGTTGCTTGAGACAGCTATGTGCAGCACCACTAGCATTGGGCATTTTTCAAAAGATGTGTGAAGGAGTGCTTTAGAGATACTGGAGTGTGATTCTGTTTTCCCTTCAGAAGTTATAGTACTTGCTTGAATGTACTTAGAAGCTTTCTTACATGAAAGGGTCTCAAAGGGCTTTTTGTTTGGTTGCTTGCAATAATTTGTCTATTACACCGTTTCACAGGCTCGGGAAAGATTTTCTTCTGACACAATGAAACTAAAATATGCAGTGGCTCAATTTTGCTATATGTCTAACTTAGTTAACAAAAAATACTTTGGTATTTTAACGTTGAACTTGGTTCCTTTAGTCAATATGGTGCTTTCACTCTAGAGAGGTTTTGTGGTTGGGTTTTTTTTTTTTTTTTTCCTTTTTTGTTGTTTTCTTTTTAAAGCCTTGTTCACATTTTAATTTCAACACAGAGTCCTCCAGTTATATTAAGGATCATGCGAAAGAAAATTCCAATTTGTGTAAAGCTCTCAAGTATTTGGTAGGGTGCTTGATGAGCTGTTGACATTTAACATCAATAATTAGACATAAGCCAGCAGAAACATTGGAAAACATGATTCCATTATGTTTGATATTTCTTGTAATATTCTTTTACAGTTCCAGAGCTAAAAGGCTTTTGTTTCTGGAATAGAAATCTCTAGACCTAGGTATGCCACCCACAAAGCATATACTTGCATTCTTTAGTTCTCTCTGTGTGCATGCGTGCACACACACACATGTATGCACACCAACAACTAAGTACTTTTCTAATGGTAAGGTAAGATTTTGAGGCCAAATGTTCCATGAGAAATGTGTTTTAGAAGCAGCAAATTGCAACTAATTATAGAAGTTGCAGACAAAGATCTGTAGCCTATGACTTTGTGCAACCCAGAACTAATATTTGATATCGGACCACGCAGATGGCTACTGCTGGAATGATCAGATTTCCTGCTAGCATGGTATTTGAAACTTAAATTTTGTGGTGCATACAGTAAAAGGTCAAGTGTCACGAATGTAAAGCACTCTCAAAACAAGTATTTGTTACAGATGTTTAAGATTCAGAGGCAAGAAAGGATTTTTGAAAATTGCAACTGACATTTGAACAAATTATTCAGTGGTATGTACACTCAGGAGGGTAAAATTTGGGTCTGTGCCATAGGAGGATTATCTTTGACTAACAAGAATGTAAATCAAAACAGTTTTATGCCGTTTTCTGAGGATATGGTTTTTAAAGTTGACAGCTTTAATTTTATTTCTTAAATTACTATCTGGAAAGTGTTTTATAGTAAGAAAATGTTTTGACAAATTCTTGTGTTCTAACTTCCAGTGTGACAGTGTGCTTGGCTAAAACCAGTTGTCATAAAAATGTTTGCAATCAGCGAATAAAATACCTGAGTGAAATAGAATATTTCTGTGGAAAATAGTAGTAAAACGAACTTTCAGTAAATTTAGCTCCAACTGGAACTGGTCTGCCAAGAACTTCATATCGATGAAGAGCGTAATTAGCAAGAAAGTTTAGTTCTCAAAAATTGATTGGCTTGATCCCGAGTTTCCTTCCTCAGGTCAGACCTCTAATGAGCACATGCCTAATTTCACCTGAGCAAAAAATAAAGTTTCTGACCTCAATTTAGTGTGATGTGTATTCTTTGGAAAGGGACTATTTCAAAGGATACTGATTTTTGAAGATGTATGGGTATTCAAATACATGGCGTTGTTGAAAGCTGCTGTCCAGTGGGCCTTACAGATTTTTGTAAGCAAAAAACTTCTCTCCTGGGAATGCTTTTGTACATCTGTGCTTTTACTTTGCTGCTGTGTCATAGTTCAGTTTCAGTGCTAGGTTGGTTGTTTTTTTGTTGTTTATCCTATTGCAGCATCTCCTCAGCTGAAATGAAAGTTTGGGGTATACAGTAATGGCTCAACTTCTAGTTTTATGCTAATAGTCTCCTTTTCTAAGGACAAATGTTGTATAAGTGATAAGTTGACCCAGTGATATACAAAATCCATGGTGTAGAATTGATGATATTTTCAGTGCATTTCAGAGTTTGAGCCTTTCGAAGGTCATTGCTTTTCCTCTCTTTTCTGTGCTTTTTTTTCCTACTTTCTCTGCAGATGATCCTACCAATTCTGAAACTAAAATGTTAGATAAATATGGCTACTTCATAAGAAAATGAAAAAGAACAGAACTTTGCAGTGATTAAAACGGTATTATATTGAATATGCTTTGTATGTACTTTTTGGTTAAGATTTAGGTTAATACCAGAAACTGAAGTAGGAATTGAGCATGAGGCACTTTGCTTTATGATGTCTGTCAGCTGAATGCAACTATACCTCTTTGGTTTTTTTTTTCTTCTGAACACAGCTGACCTTTTATAACATTATCAAATTAATGAAATAAGTTGGTAAGATTTGAAATGTGTTCTTACGCACTTAAACGTCATTCTGAAGTTCACTTGACTTGTATTTGTTAACTATCTCCCTTGAGACCGTTCTTCACGAATGTTTTAGAGGGCGGTTAAAGTTCCAGTATTACATTCTTATTACTTACCTCTGTATATTAAACTTCAGGACTTGTACCTATAATTGAAATCCCCTTGCTAAACTGCTGTTGATGCTGTTTTTCTTGCTAGAGTTTTTCTTTTTTGTCTTCTTGGACCCTTCTGAACTTTTTCCTTTGTACTCAAAGTATTTTTCTTTTTTTTTTTTTAAAAAAAAGAAGCTATTTAAAATTCTTCGTTCATTTATCTTCCCCCCCTCCATTCCACAGTGCCTCTGTACCTAAACCAAAGGCTTTAAATTCGTGTGGTGCATATTGGCAAAGATAAGCCTGTGTGTGTTTCGTTCACCTTCCTGACATTACAGCTAACCACAAGACTAATCTCTATGCTCAACCTTGAATTCTGTGGGTTTTAGTTTTGGAACTGATGCAAATCAGGAGATTCAAGGAGAAATGTTTTATCTGTATTACGGCTTCACTTTTGCGTCCTTGTCTTTAATCAGGACAAAGTGCATCAGGAATATGCTGATGCATATGAAGATGAAAACTTTCCCT